GGGGTTTGGTCAATAATTAACCGAGATATTGAGAAACTAAATTTTTGGCCCCATTTACCACAATGTTAACTAAAATTTCAAAGTGATCCAGAATCCAGGATTTCTTCCGGATCAGCCCCAAAATGAAATCATTTCTTCCTTGTCACATTTCCAACAAATCCTGAAAATTTCATCAAAATCGGTCCATAACTTTTTGAGTTATGTTGCTAACAGACAAACAAACAAACAAACAAACGCCGGCAAAAACATAACCTCCTTGGCAGAGGTAACAAAACATAGACTACAGCCCCATAGATCACGACCAAAAGGGTTTAGACTAGAGATGGGTATCATTGAGAAGCTGCCGATACGATACATACCTCGATACATAGACCGCACTACGATACTGTGCACTTTTGTTCGATACGATATATTTCAAATCAGTTCGATATGGTTCAGTAAAAAACAAAACAAAGGCTTTGATACTAAAGCTACGTTTATAGGATGAAGCTCTGAACAGAAGACGCAAAAGTGGCATTTACACAAGCGTTTTCGGGAGTAAATCTGCGTGCATAAGGTGACGCAAAAGTGTGTGGAATTCGATTGGGTTTGCATGTCAGGTTTCTGTATACTATATGTATGTGATGTAAATGCGTACGCGACGTGAGCAGATCTGACCAGAGTTTTGCGTCTTGGGCAGTGTAGACGGAAACACTACGGCGGAGCATATTCAACTTTTCCACTCTGGAGGGTGGGTTTAGATTTTTGCATTTTTAAGCTCTAAAAACGCCGTCATTATCTAAACAAAAGTCACTTCCGATAAAATATCAAATCTCATTTTTTTACCTGCAAGCGTTCTCATGTAAACAGGCCCTAAGTCTTTACTGAGCCACTAAGTTTGTGCAAAGTTAATCCGAAAAATGCCCATTTTACTCAAAACAGTGAGTACGTCTAATGTGCTGCATGAACAAGTTTCCTTTCTCCAAACATGAAACACAATTGCAGCTCTTTCACAAAATGATTTAGTAAAACACCAAAAAAAAAAAAAAAACGCACCCTTGGCGATATGTCGATACAGCAGCCCACGATGTCAATACAGTATCATGAACTTACACAACACGATATATCGATATTTAAATTTTTTTAGTAAAAGTACTTATCATTAAACAATAACAGATTTCCAAGAAAGAAAAGCAGTGTATGAAAAGCAAGTTTATGTTTACAATTTCACTTATGATTTACTGTAGATATTAGAGAGAAAATATTAATTAAAACAAACTAAATTTAATGCATAATTCAGTCATTCCAGAGCTCTATATCTTTTTTTTTAAAGACTTCTACAGTGTTAGACTTTTTTTTTAAATCATCACTCAGATTGTTTCATATACTAACCCCTCTTTTCTTAGTTCTTATCTTAATTTTTTTTTTTTAATATGCCATTTTTTCCCCGTTTATACTCGTACAGACTAGTAATAATGTGAACGAAACCACAAAAGTTTATCGTTTATGATCGTACAAAATAAACCACAACGAGAATGAAAAAATTTAAGGATTGTTTTGTTTTACTTTATGGTCGTAGTAATAATAATAATTAGAAAACACTGCAGAGTAGGTTTTAAGATCGTCTGAAAACTTAAGAAAAATTACAAAATGCAAATACGTTTTCAGGAGCCTGTGATTACAAGCGTTCATGGTCCTGTTTTGGAGTTTTGGAACTAAATCAGCTAATTCTGGTCAGACTGTGTTAAAATAAAGCTCAGATTAAAGTCTAATTTGAGCAACAGAGCTTCTAACAGAGAAGTGCTTTCAATCCCAGGGAATGTTGGCGTCATCAGCTTCACAGCGTCTTCCAAAATTTACAGACAAACCCAAACTTCCACAAATTTGCCTCCTCCTCATCGTGTCTCAGTCTCGTCTCTGAAATCCCAAATCGCTCATTTCCAAGTAAGCCAATCTTTTTATAGACGGCAAACTCAACGCGGAAAGTCATTTGATTACGCAACGTTGTTTACGCTCTATAAATAAGATCCTTGGTCATTTGGTTAATACATGTTTGGGTTTGTGTGATCGAAGCTGCTAAAGCTCATCCGCAAACAGAGACACTTCAGTACTGAGTATGTACCGTATTTTTTGGACTATAAGGCGCACTGGATTATAAGGCGCATTAAGCGAAACAAACGGACGACACTTGAGACTGATCCCTTAGTCCAGGCGTCCACGATCCATTGGCAGATCGTGACGTAATTCACGCGGCGTTGGCTCCCTGTCTTGGTGAATGTCTACGACGAGGACTCAAATATACATTGAGTAATAATGTGTTTAATGCAGCTTTGCTCACTTTTGTTTACATTTACAGAAACAAAACTTAAAACCACACGGCTCATTTGCATAAACTATAAGTGCGGTCAACTTCTGTTGGACTTACTCTGCGAGGCTTCTGACTACAGTAGCCGTAACACTTCGACAGTCCATCAAGCTTTGTGTGGCTTTGTATCGTACAAAAGTCGTTCTAAAACATTCTGGCAGATTTTTGAGCACCGTGTACCGCATAAAATCGGTTCGAAGTCAGTAAGCACAACCAGAATTAATACGTAAGGTCGCACTGGATTATAAGGCACAATGTTGATTTTTTAGAAAATTTAAGGATTTTAAGTGCACCTTATAGTCCGAAAAATATGGTAGGTGTGTGACTGGTGGAAATCGTAGGAGGTGGTTGGCTGTAGTGCTGCTGGATCAATACCAAAATAAAGCTTGGAATAAAGTCTAATTTGAGTAACAGAGCTTCTAACAAAGTCGTGCTTTCAGTCCCATCCCCATATTGATACTGAGAATCACTTCAGTGTATCAGTCATCCTGCAAAATTTCTCCAAAAGTAACTGTATTTAAAATCGTAATTGATTTATAAAATGGAATGGAATGTTGTGAATCTGTACAAAATTTTTTAGACAACTTCAATCGGGGTAAAGTGAAAATGATGGGAGCCTCTGTGTTCGCCAAAGAGTAGAGAAGTTTAAACCTACTGTGCTTGTGTTTTCTCTATAGTAATAATCAATGGCACTTGTGGATCTTTATGTTATAATTTGCAACATTCGTCTAAATCAACTTAATAAAAGGAAAATGTGGTGACTAGTAGGAGCTGGAGGTGGCCCTAAATGCAGAATCCTACGAGTATCACAGTTTAAGAAAATAATATCGAAGAAGTAATCTCGAAACGGCGAAAATCTCAAAATTAAGCGATTAAAAATTGCTCAAACATGCACGAATCACTCCAAATAAAACTTCCTGAGGGTAAATGAGAAGAACACATGTGGTTAGAAGCTCCGAAAGGCTGATTTTGCATAATACTTTCATGTAAAACTCATTGGTATTGGTACTGGATCAATGCTGCAGTACTTGTCATAGTGTTACTCGAGATCAGGTGGAAAAAAAAATCACTGCCCATCATTATTTAGCTTTGTTTTGTCATTCAATCCCAGTGCAGCTGTAGCTACACTAACGGAGCGTCTCTGAGTTTGTGGTGAATGAATAATGAGCAGAGTTTAGTGCTTTGAGAGGCCTGTCGGGGATTAGAAGAATTAAACAGTGGACGTGGGAGTTAGACACATGTCGCGGAGCAGGTGTTTAAACCAGAGCTCCTCTTCTTCTGCTCCTACTGAGAAAACGGGACTGCTGAGAGATGGTATGTTTGTCGGTTGGCCAGTTGGTCCGTTGGTTGGACAGTTGGTTGGTCGATTGGTCAGTTAATTGGTCAGTTGGTTGGTTGGTTAATCGGTTGGTTGATTGGTCGGTTAGTTGGTTGGTTAACTGATCGTCAGTCGGTTGGTTGGTTGGTCAGTTGGTCTGTTGGTTGGTCGGCCGGTTAGTTGGTCGATTGGTTGGTTGGTCGGGTGGTCGGTCAGTTGGTCCTTTGGTTGGTTGGTTGGTGGGTTAGTTGGTCGATTGGTTGATTGATTATTTGGTTGGCTGCTCAGTCAGTTGGTTGGTCAGTTAGTTGGTTGGTTGTTTGGTTGGTCGGTTAGTTGGTTGGTCTGTCAGTTGGTCAGTTGGTTGGTCGTTCGGTTAGATTGTCGTTCAGTTCGGCAGTTGGTCGGTTAATTGGTTGGTCATTTGGTAAGTTGGTTGGGTGGTCGGGTGGTTGGTTGGTTGGTCAGCTCGTTGGTTGGTCGGCCAGGTGATCATTTGGTTGGTCGGTTGGTCCATCGGTTGGTTGGTCAGTTGGTTGGTAAGTCCGTTGGTTGGTCGGTCAGTCCGTTGGTTGGTCTGTCGGTCATTTGGTTGGTCGGTTAGTTGGTCAGTTGATTAGTTGGTCAGTTGTTTGGTTGGTCGGTCAGTCCGTTGGTTGGTTGGTCAGTTCTTTGGTTGGTCTGTCGGTCATTTGGTTGGTCAGTTGGTGGGTCAGTTGATTAGTTGGTCAGTTGTTTGGTTGGTTGGTCAGTTGGCCAGTTGGCTGGTCTGTTGATTGGTTGGTCAGTCCGTTTGTTGCCAGATTAATTTATTAGTTGCACAGTTTGATATTTGTTAAAGGAAGTTGGTTCACATCAAAACTGGGCCTAAACTAGGAGTAACACTGGAGCAAAACCTGGACTTAAAGAAAACCCATAGTTATAATATATGACATCATTATGTTATAATGTACATATTTTAAATCACAATATTCATTTAAAACAACTTAGAAAACTGCAGATATCGCCATAAATGTCCAAATAAATCCAGTGTTTACTTTTAACTATCTAATTATAAAGCATATATGTGAATCAGAAAGTGCCTAGTTAGCATGGTAGTTGTTTTTAGCTTTACCATGATGGCAACACTTGGCTCTGATCTGTTAAAAGTGTTTATAAACTCATTGTGGTGAATGATTAGGATGATCTGAATGCACAAGGTAAGTGAGGAATAACTTTGGATCACTGCTAGTTCTGTTTTTCACGTTTCAAGACAGTAAAAATGAGGTACAAGATCAACAGTTACATTAAATATTGCGCTAACGTGTTTTTTGTTTTGTTTGTTTTTTGTTCCCAGGTAACATCTTGGACAGCATGCTCCTGCAGGCGTCCAGTCGAGAGTCAGGGGAGAGCGGGCGGGACCTGAGCAGCAGCGTGGCCCCGGCTTCAGCCAATCAGAGGCTTCTGTGGTGCTACTGTAACCACCACTGTCCAGACGACTCGGTCAACAACACGTGCAGGTCAGAAGTCATTCTAGTCTCATTATTCTTTTTATTGGCTGCAAAACTCAGAATTTTAAAAATGATTTAAGCACCTATATTATGTTATTATTATGATATGAACCACTCGGACTGGGCAGAGATTCTAGTGTCAGTGGTCAATAAATAGTTTGGGTCTTTGTAATGGAGAGATCTACAGCCAGTCCCCTGTCAGTAAAAACATGTGGTATGGAGTTCAGGCTTAAGAGAAAGAAACTGGGGTATTTTTTGTGTCAAATGGTAATAATTATTAACTCTTCTTTATGTTCAAGAAATGAAGAGAAAGCCAGTTTATTTGCTTCCAATAAAACAACATCAAATCAAAAATTTTAATATTATGCAGTCCTATTCACCAGTGTTTAATATTCCTCTCCAAACACTACTTTTGTTTCTTTCACACATGTAGCAGCTGCTCAGGATTTAGACTTCATGTGTTCATTTCCATGGTTAAATTACTGTTATTGTGACTTAGGCTACGTCCAGACTGCAGCCTGAAGTAACCCAAATCCGATTTTTTTTCGCCCCAATGCTCCTGTATCTGATCTTTTAATGACAGTCAGATTTTTTCAAATGCGACCCAGGCCACGTGGATATGTGCTCCTAAAACCGATACATATCCGATCTTTTGACATGCGACTTCAGTCTGAACGGCCAGGTCGCTTTCATCCCACCTTCACGCACAAATATACACAAACATTCTTCTCGTCATATGAAAACTTGTGTAAGAACTGTGAAGCAGTGAAGCACAAAACAATGCCACCACTCTTGGCTACGACTCCACACCCACACATTCCTTTATACGGACATTTCTGCCACTGCCCCACAAAACTCCATGACCAAAAACCTCGTCTTTCTCCTTCTCAAGCTTCTCCTTCAAACAAATAAGTTGTACATGTTCAAGCTTCAGTACGACAGCGACTTTAAAATCTCCAAGTGCTCAATGTTGCGTCCATGTTTAGGCAACTTCCGTAAACACTGAGCACGCCAAAGCACCTGTGGGACACTTTTGGGGCATTGAAAGTTCACACTGGAGATCACATACAAGTCACATTTAATTTGAAATGTGAACAACAACGCAAAAAAATCAGATTTCACAAAAAAATCCAAATTGAGCGTTAAACCCTGCGGTCTGAACGTAGTCTTTGTAACATGCAGCCATAACTGATGTGTTCTGTCTCTCTCTTCAGGACAGACGGTTTCTGCTTCACCATGGTGGAGGAGGAGGGTGGGGTCCCAGTGCTCGCCTCAGGCTGTTTGGGGAAGAAGGGCTCTGAGTTCCAGTGTCGGGTCAGTCTCTTAAACTCTCATTTAAAAAAGACTTAGTATGCTTAACTAAATAACATCTGTGAAACATCAGGGTTCGTCTTGTTCATCTGTTGTGATGCTTCCAATCAAACTTTGGTTAAATCCAGTTTAGAGAAAAGCGCAGACATCTATCCTCCACAAAGCTCTTCTCTTCTGCACGATTTTCACAAACAAAAAAGTCCAGATTTTCACTAGAATAGGCTGAACTACATCTGTGTGCCATGTTTGTCTTGGTTTGTTTGGGCGCTTTGCTTTGGCTATCACACAAACCTCAGTGCTGATCCGCGATTGGTCGACTCGCTGCTGGGTGAATTTGATCCTAAAAGCGGAAGTCTCACAAGATGAATTCTCGTGAGTTTGTGAACTCTCAGATATCTCAAGAATCAATCTTGCTGTGCAGGGTCAGGTGCGCTCAGCTTATCTTGGCTTTTTTTCTTTTCTTTTTTTTTCTTTTTTTCAAACATTTCTCTAAAAGATTATACATTCTTTTCAGTCTTTTTTGTGATGCGTTATGTTTAGTCATAAATAATATCTAATCTGGGTTTGTGTAATTCACATTTTTAAGTATCTCTGAAGTTTTTAGCCCTTGTTATGTCATTAAGTGGAAAGAAATCATCCGTTAAAGCAGAATATGTGGTTTTAAGATATAAAAATGTGATTGTATTTATTTTCAGGAGACTTCCAACTCATTAGGCCGTAAATCCCTGGAGTGTTGTTCAGATGAGGATTACTGCAACAGACACCTGCACCCCACTTTACCGCCCATGGAACCGCCCAGTAAGTGCCCAACAGCGCCCCCTGACATCATTTACACACACTACATGTACCCCACTCTGCCCTTACCTGCAGTCAGTCTCTTCTATACTCTGTTCAAACTTAGAAGTGTCTGGAATCGAACTGCAGAGTGTAAAAATCCTCTGTCCAGACTTGGGCTGGTCCAACCACAGCCACTAATCTGTGTGTTTCTCAACAGCGCCCCCTATATCAGTGGTAACAAGTAGCCTACTGTATTTTTTGGACTATAAGGTGCACTGGATTAGCCTGGTTCATTAACCGGTTTCACGTCGTGGAAACCGTCTGACCTCTCAGCATTAGGATTCGTTTGCTCGATGGTAGGCGGGTACTTTTTTTTATTTAACCAATCGCTGCTCTTTGGTCATGGTGTATGTAATGCGCCAAATCCCGTAGGAAGAAGGGCAATAAAGTCTTTCCCTTTGATAAAATTCACCAAACATTCTCTTTGTTCCGGCTTTAAATCCTCGATCTCTGGTTGCCAACACAGAATGTCTTCGTCTACATCCATCTCGACCTCTTTGTTTACTGTTGTGTTGTACCACAAAAGGGACCCAGACAGGCACTTGAGTTTGACATCATGCCTTCACAGCTCTTCGCTGATTGGCCGGTGCGCGGTCTACAAGTTCTGATGTTCTTGCAAACCATCTAGTTTATTTCAATTCTTGACCTAGTCGCTGGAGAGAAATGAAATTGAGTGGAGGCACTAGGCACTGGATTATAAAACACAATATCAATAATGTTGAATTCTCTCGTCTATTTTCATACATAAGGTGCACTGGATTATAAGGCGCATTAAGTGAAACAAACCAATGACACTTGGGACTGATCCCTTGGTCCAGGCGTCCATGATCCATTGGCAGATCGTGGCATAATTCGCCCGGCGTTGCCTCTCTGTCTTAGTGAATGTGTAATATGAATGTGAATGTGGATGGATAATTTAAGTTTGTTTTTTTTATTTCCTACGAGAAGGACTCAAACATACATTGAGTAATAATGTGTTTAATGCAGCTTTGCGCACATTTGTTTACATTTTACAGACATGAAACTTAAAAGCATATGGGTCATTTGCATAAACTATAAGAGCTAAAAAAAACAGACACAAAACATCACTATTGTGGTGTGATGTGGCGTGTTCTGTCGGACTCTGTGGGACTCCGCGAGGCTCATGACTACTGTAGACCTAATGCTCCGACAATCCATCAAGCGGTGCGGCTTCATAGTTTACCAAAGTCGTATTAAAACATTTTGACAGATTTTTGACCGCCGTGTACCACATAAAATCGGTTCGAGGTCAGCAAGCACAACCAGAATTAATACATAAGGCACACCGGATCATAAGGCGCATTGTCGATTTTTGAGAAAATGAAAGGATTTTAAGTGTGCCTTATAGTCCGAAAAATACAGTAGTCAATTGTTAAGTTTATTGTGACTTTTTTCTGTGGCCATCTATCCCTTGAAATGTGTTATTGTTATGTGTTATTTCAAGCCAAGTATAGCTCCTGTTGCTAAAAGTTCAAAAAGTCAGTTCAAGATCATATTGATACTTTGCAGCTTTCCCTTGAGGGTGTGATGCTAACTGTAGACACTGCGCATTCCACCACAGAACTGCAAAGCAATACACCCACAAAGGGAAGATTTAAAAGGGTTTGTCCACACCACCCTGTCTTTATACCCCCGAGGCTTAAACTGTGTTGAGGAGAAAAAAAAAAATAGCTGTATCCCCCGTCTCCACTCCGGCAGACACCAAGGGCACTGTCATCAATCTGTAACCCAATGAGGAGCCTCGATCAGGGGGAATCCATCCAGCGTCCTGGGCCTCCTCTGGTGCTCATCCAGGCCTGCAGGGAACAACTCCAGACTGCCACAACAGGATGAGAAATAGATGAGAAAAAAATATCTGCGGACTGATTTACTGTCCCCTTCTCTTTTAAGTCTGTGAGAGGAGGACACAAGCTTAAGATCGTCTAACCTGGAGGCGGAGAGAGGGCATTCACAGTTACAGAGAGGGGGAGAGGAGAGTTCAGAACATATTATTTCAGCTAGAGTTGGATAAGGTTGTCAAAAGGAATCGAAAATCATGTACTAAATGATAATAAAACTAGTAGATACTTATTTGAGCAGGTAGTATAAAAAAGTATTATGATTAAATGTTGAAAATCACATTCTATTATCTGAAGAAAGTGTTTTTTATTATCATTGTGGCAAGTTTAAAGCCTTTTAGAATCGTAACAACGCTAGTGATGGATGATTCTGACACAGCGAAGCAAATCTTGAGATGTTTTCAACCTTTCTATTTTAGCAGTTCATCAGAAATGGTCTTGTTGAAGGTTCAAGTTCTGTACGTGACCCTACTACCTCAATAACTAGTTTCGATACTAGTTTTAGGTTCAATTGGTATCTGATTTTCGATACTTTTGACAACCCCAATTCAATAAGACAAAATAAAGGTTATGTTTACACTGAAAAGAATCACTGTATCACTGTATCGGAAACAATTTGCGTCCAGACACGTTGCTTTTGTGTCCACAGTCAAAGCCTTCCCTATCCTCACAGCTTTGCGTGTATTTGTTTACGTTTTACAGAAATTAAACTTAAAACCACATGACTAATTTGCATAAACTAAATGCTCAAAAAACCAGCTTGCTCTTTGTGCCATGACTCGGTTCAGCTTCGTTCGGACTTAAAAAGGACACGACTCAGTGGAAAATATGTGTTCTTTCCGTGACAGAGGGGTGTTCTGGTAATGTTCTGGCAGTTCTAGCGCCGCTCTTTCCCGTTTGTCTCTGTTTAAACTGTTTTCTGCAAAAGCGTCACATGACCGATGTCACAAACCCAGCGAATCAGGAAGGCGGAAGTCACAGTGACGTGGTCCAGTAAGGATGCAACTAGAGCTCCTACATCAGAGTATCAACGTTTTCAGGCGTCCACACAGTCCCGGATCAGATCTGTACTCAGATGAATTCGTGGGAGCTGTCAGCATCAGATCGTTCCGTCTCTGGAGCCGTTTTCCATCAGATTAGTGTGAACGAACGCTGCATCCACAATGAAAACGACTCGAATACATACTAGTGTGGATGGGGCCAAAACTGAGGTGTAAAAGCTTTATCAATAAATATGAGGACACATGCAGCTCTAATGTAGACACTGTCCCTCTTCTCCTGTTCTCATTTATTTTTCTCTCTCTCTCTGCTCAGCCTATGACCCCAGTATCCACCACATGGCTCTCATCATCTCTGTGATCGTCTGTTTCTTCATCCTGATCGGCATCATCGTCTTCTGCTACTTCAGGTGAGACTAAAGGTTTCTGCTACGATTACCAGCACCCTGCTTTAAATGTCCTATATTAATTAACTCTCAGGATCTTTTTACCATGTTGGGACATTGTTCCCTTGTCAAAAACAGACCTGGAGTTGTGTTTTGTTTCATTCACACATGTTTAACACACAAACCCTACATATTAAGGCTGAGTTCTTTTCTCAAACAGAAAACACTCCACCTCGTGACATCGTATAGTAAGACAAGTGTGTTTTTAAACTCCACCCTTCACTAGAATCATTTGGATAACTTCAGCCCTGGCATTGTCATTTTCTACTTGAAAACTACCACTATATGACATCATAAGGTGGAACAGAGCATTTTGAGCTTTGGAGACGTAGACAAACTAATAATACAGGATTACTCAAACATGTGAATGAAACAAAACATGCCTTAAAGCTCAGGTTAGTCATTTATATACAGATATACAATCTTAATAAGACTGAGGGGAGAGTTTTCCCAATTTGATTTTTTTCAGATTCTAGATTATAGTTTTTCCTGTTACATTGTACTTTACAGTGAAATATCCAAAAGGTACATTCACAAACTATGTTACAACAAAAATAATCTATATTAAATATTATTGATCTGTAGAAGGTCATGCTGTCATCTGAAAGTCATAAATACAAAGGAATATAACTAAAAAAAAAAAAACTCTGAACTTACCCTCCGTCATTGGAATAATATTTGACACTAGTATTATGTGACTTTTGTGTATAATCTGACCTTCATGTGCAGGTACAAGCGTCAGGAGTCTCGTCCACGCTACAGCATGAGTCTGGAGCAAGATGAGACCTTCATTCCTCCTGGAGAGTCCCTCAAAGACCTGATCCAACAGTCCCAGAGCTCAGGCTCAGGCTCAGGGCTCCCTCTGCTGGTGAGACATTTGCATTACAGTTTTATTATCACACACACACACTCTCACTCATACACTCATACTCATATTCACAACCCAACTGGAGAGTCGCTCAAAGACTTGATCCAACAGTCCCACAGTCCCAGAGCTCAATGTCAGGGTCAGGACTCCCTCTGCTGGTGAGACGTATGCAAGTTTTTTTTGTTTTGTTTTTTCATGTTTCTGCATTTATTATTTTAATGGCAACCAAACCATGGCAGCTCAATTTTAATTAAACTGAATGTCTGAGAAGGATGGGGAAAAAACATAAAAAGTACTCAAAAATCATAATAATATTTAAATGTTTCCACAGAGATTTTATTGTTTGGAATGTTTCACAGTGTGGCATTAAACTCATGTATCTTTCATTTATTTTTGTTTTGCTAAAAAAAATTGATAAACATACACTACAGGTCAAAAGTTTTAGAACACTACACTTTTTCCAGTTTTTGACTGAAAATTATTCAGTTTATTGTGTCATTGCTCGGAAATGAAGCATAGATCAAAGCAGTTTGAGTTGAAAAAGAAATCATGGAATCAATTTATAGACCAAAACATATTCTAAACTTTTGACTCATCAAAGTGTTCGCCTTTTGCAGATATCACAGCTGAACACACTCCTTCTTTCTACAAAAGAAAATCAAATATTCTTCATAAATTTCTTTCCAAGTCTGTTGCAGAAGTTTCCATAAATGTGTGGCACTTGTAGGTTGCTTCACTCTTCTGTCCAGTTCACACCAAACCAGCTCGATGCGGTTTAACCCTGCATTTGATTATTTTCCGACTCCCATTTGGATCTCAGATTTGATGTCACATCTGAGTTTGAAGTGTATCATTATGTGGATTATGATTATAACTATTCCCTCATCTAATAAAAACACTGCCACTTTATTTTATTTAATTTTTGAAATTTGCACTTCATTTTATGTTATGATTTCTCTTCCGTTATAACCTTAGGAACATTAACGCCCATTAAAAATCAAGTATTTGTTCAGTATTGGCCTTACACAACACTGACTCCTAAACCCACAGGCGGTGATATGGACGTGGTAAGGTTCTGTAGTGATACGAGTGACTGAAACTCATTTCAGTCATTTAAACCACCAAAGTGTCCAAACACAATGAAAACACTTCATATTTACACGTCACAGTGGGCATAGACACATACCGCCATTGAGGTACGAGTCACACCGTCCCAGGAAAATGGGCATGTCACTTCCTCGGAAAACCGTTTCGGAAGGATAATCGGGTCAGTCTGGAGATTGTGCTGGCCACTCCATGTTTTCAAGTTTACCATTTTGTTCTTTTTTCCTGAAGTAGTTTTGGCATTACCTTTGTACCATTTCAAACTCTTCATTAAACTTGCACGACTTGAATTGCAATAAATAACTGGAAAAGCAATTGGGGTGTTCTAAAACTTTTGAGCGGTAGTGTACATTCTTGCAATGAGCCGATCGCTTCTTCAGATTGTCACTTGGCCTGATGGTTTTAATTGCCAGCAATGACATACAGTATGTTTAATGCCATACAGACAAAGCCAAAAACATCTCCATGGAGACAAAAAAAGAAAAAGTTACATAAAACCCTTTTTAGGCATTGCCAGAATAGATTGTTTTGTCTTGACCATATTGCTGTGCTCTGGGCTCCAGGTGCAGAGGACCATCGCCAAGCAGATCCAGATGGTGAAGCAGATCGGGAAAGGCCGGTACGGGGAGGTGTGGATGGGCCGATGGAGAGGAGAGAAAGTGGCTGTAAAAGTGTTCTTCACCACAGAGGAGGCCAGCTGGTTCAGAGAGACGGAGATCTACCAGACTGTGCTCATGAGGCACCAGAACATACTCGGTCAGTATAGATACTTTGCAGCTCATGTCAAGTCTCTCACACAAAGGCTGACCAGAATTTCAAAATAAAAAACCGAGACATTCCCGCTTTTTTGGTGGTTGGTAATAATAAAACTGTGAAACGAGTGCGTAAATAAGGAAAATTGTTATGCAGAGACCATTCATGATGAACATTTAAGTCAGCATAGTCACATTTTCTTTGTGTTTTGGTCATTTTTAAGCAACTTTTCTGTATTTTATCGAAACAATTTACAATTTATGCGTCTCTTTAATGTCGGCAGGGATCAAATTGGTCAAAAATAGGGACACCACGGATATTTCTTGTATAAAACTGGGACAAATCAGAGGTTTTGGATAAATCTGCTGGGACAGAGGACACAGGACATAGGGTTCTGGTCACCCTACACACACACACAAAATTATAGTTACAACTCAACAGTTTTTCAGTTAGTCACTCCTCCTAAACTCCTAAATAGGATCATGAATGCTTGTATTGAGCACAGACTACTCAATATGTGCCATTTAAATTGTCATTGTATATTTTTTCTTGAGTTTTCAGACAATCTTAAAACTCGTTTTCGCTGTAGAAATGATGTTAGAACACCCCCAGCGTGATCTCACTGCAAAGTATCCATAAATAGACATCAGTTACCCGCTAGCCACTGTGTTCCAAACATATTTTTGGCTTAAAGTGTGTGTTTTAACTCGCTCTCTGTAGACTCTATTCACACTTACGTCACAAACCAGACAAGATGCGATAATAAATTCCAGTGTAGTTCCGACACTGGGTTCGCCGACCATCTGTCATAAAACCCACTGAAGTAAATGTGATCAGCGTTACAATGAAGACTGCAGACGTATGTGCTGTTTGAAATCATCTTGAGTTTGCTGCCCTCATCTCGCGCTCGGAGTTGTGCGACAGTGCGGAAATGACGAAAACTGAGGTGTGCTTGTAGTTGTTGATTCGCCGAACATAACGGAATACTATAATGACATGTAGATGAAGAAAACTGGAACATTTTCTCATTTTTCCTAGATTTTGTCAGACTTACTACCGCAAACACAGCTCGCCGGAAGTTGTCATCGCATCTTTCCAAATGTCTTCCTGGTTTTGACATAAATGTGAATAGAACCTATTGTTGTTGTTTCGGAAGGGGCAAGTACCTTCAACAACCTCGCTCCTGATTGGCTTTTTTTTTTTACTATACTATCAATTAACTTTATTTGACTGTACCTGAACACACTCCCTCAGTCCACTTCTTTAGAGGGTCTATGCACACAACGGAATACAACAAAATCAAAGTGTAAGAGAATGAATAAAGACTACAGTACAGAGACCACCCTGTAGAGCACAACACAGGTTCAGTGATTATTCTAGATGAAATATTGCATGACAAAAGTGTGTCAAACCAAACTCTGCTCTCCCTTTAGGCTTCATCGCGGCCGACATTAAAGGCACCGGCTCCTGGACTCAGCTCTACCTCATCACGGACTACCACGAGAACGGCTCCCTCTACGACTACCTCAAGTCCACCACGCTAGACAGTCAGAGCATGCTCAGACTGGCCTACTCCTCCGTGTCCGGCCTGTGTCACCTCCACACCGAGATCTTTGGCACCCAAGGGAAACCCGCCATCGCCCACCGGGACCTGAAGAGCAAAAACATCCTGGTGAAGAGGAACGGGACCTGCTGCATCGCCGACCTGGGGCTGGCCGTCAAGTTCATCAGGTCAGAACTGTGGGAAAATATGGTTGTCATGTATTTCGTATCTTTTAAAGACTGATTTTCTTCCCTATGTATTTGAGCAAAAGTGGTGCAGATAAATTGTACAAGAATCTCCGCTGTGTATCTAATGCCAGAGGTGCGCTTGTTTTGTTCACAGTGACACTAATGAGGTGGACATCCCTCCGAACACCCGGGTGGGGACAAAGCGCTACATGCCCCCGGAGGTTCTGGACGAGACCCTGAACCGGAACCACTTTCAGTCCTACATCATGGCCGACATGTACAGCTTTGGGCTCATTCTGTGGGAGATCGCACGTCGCTGTGTCTCTGGAGGTACACACGTGTTATACTCATTATATAATGTGATTTGACAGGTTTTAGTGCATGATTACTGTGTTTTTCGGACTATAAGTTTTACTTTTTTCATGGTTTGGGTGGTCCTGCGACTTATACATCAGTGTGACTTATATATAAAAATTCCTCTAGGCTTGGGTGCCAGTATCTGCTATTACTCCTGTGCCACTGTCACTTTGCTCTACTGCACATGTCTCCTGCAGAAAGAGCCTCTGTCCTGTCTGGGATCATGTCAGTCGATCGCACCATTACATCTGTACAAATTTAAACAAATTTATGTAAAACACCTGAGAAGACTAAACACAAATTCCCCCAAAAAGAAAATCATATTTTGCAGATTACAAGCTGAAAGTAGTGAAATCTGCAGCTGAAAACAATAATCAAGCAGCAGAAAGAAAGTTTGGAGTGAGCGAGAAACTTGTGACACCGGGAGGATGCGCCATGCAACGTTCCTGGAAGTCACTGGATGGATGGACAAAGCCTGGACTTCAGTGACAACCGAAACCATCCTGTCGGGATTCAGAAAGGCCGCTCCGTTTACCTCTGGAGGTTGTGGAGTTGCTCAGAAGTGACACCAAGGATAAAGAATTCAGTGGATTTAGTGATTTGGAGTGTTTGTACTCTAACTTACCTTTCAAGATGAAATATCGGTTCTTGGTCTCAGATTTTATAAAATAAATTTCCCCCAAAAAGTGCCACTTATATATTTTTTTCTTCTTCATTACACTTTTCCTTATCTGGTGCGATTTATACTCCAGAGCAACTTATAGTCTGAAAAATATGGTATTTATTTCCTTTCGTGGAACTCTACTCTACTTATAACTTAATAAAAACATGAAGTTTCCCAACAGAAACTAAACTTGTGTCCTTCTGTTGTTCAGGGATCCTGGAGGAGTACCAGCTGCCGTACCATGACCTGGTGCCCACAGACCCGTCCTATGAAGACATGAGGGAGGTGGTCTGCATCAAGAAGCTCCGTCCCTCTTTCCCCAACCGCTGGACCAGTGATGAGGTGAGACACGTGCCCCTGAGCAAAACACTGTACACCATGTCTGTGTATGAATGTGGTGTGCATAATGGGCAATTTAAAAGGCTGTAATTTTACAATCCCTGTGTTTCTTTGTCCACAGTGTCTGAGACAGATCGGGAAGCTGATGACCGAGTGTTGGGCCCATAACCCGGCCTCCAGACTGACCGCCCTGAGGGTCAAAAAGACACTGGCCAAGATGTCCGAGTCTCAGGACATCAAAGTGTGAGGGGACATCCAAGGACATCAAAGTGCGAGGGGTTCTCTGACCCAAAGGGCATCAAAAGGGTTTAGTGACCCTCAGGACTTCAGGGTCTGTGGTGTTCATTGACCGCAGGACATTTGTGTATCTCAGGGCCCTCTTGTGGCAGCAGCAGTTCAGACAGACCCTGGCGAGGTGGAACCTGCAGAGTTCTGGGGCCTTAGTTCCTCTGGAGGTGCTGCTGTGACTGGAGTGACTCACACACTGCAAAAAAAGATCTACACAAGTTAAACTGGCTTCAATTAAGAAAATATGTTAATTTTCTTCTTCATTTTGACCAGTTTAGATTTGTTCTGTTTGTTAATCTGTTTTTTGGACTCTCAGGGTGTTATTGATTTAACCTTTTGCAGTGAGATGAATTCCCATGATATTTGTGAGTTAAGAAACTCACTAGAATTCATCTGTTCCGGCTCGCGCTGGTACGAGCAGCCCCTGTGGTTTAGACCAGTCACTGTTTTGGTGGATTTAAAAGTGAAGTGGGCAAACAAACCAAAACCATTAGTTAAGATTTAACTAGTTTCAATATTTATGTCATGAAAAAAAAAAGACTTAATAAAATAAGACATTTCACTCCAAAAAAGACAGAAAATAAAATAAATTGAATAGAAACCTCTAAGATCCAGATTCTCAGTTGAAGTCTGTGTAACTCGTGTTTTTGCAGTGCACACACTACTGACAAGAACATTTGTGAATACGACGTTTGTGCTCTGATCATTTGTATTGTGAATATGAATGGGTTTGTGCTTTCTGTGAAAGCTGCTGTAGCTGTATCTGTATCTGTAGGAGCGTGGGCCTGTGGGCTTGAGGGCCTGTGGGCTTCAGGGCCTGTGGGCTTGAGGGCCTGTGGGCTTGAGGGCCTGTGGGCCTGAGGGCCTGTGGGGCTGTAGGCCTGCTGGCTTGTAGGTCTGTGGGCCTGTGGGCCTGTGTAGGGCTGTCCCTGCCTCTCTCAGACTGGTGCACTGACACTGTGTGGCAGGACTGCTCTGGGCTTCACCTACACTGAGTCTGTATCATGAGCTGTTGGACAATGGACGTGTTGTTTCTGTGTTTAATGTGAGAAATAAAGTTTATATGAACAAAGTCTGTGTCTTATGGGGATATTAATTATGACGCATACATGTAAAAACATCAGTCATAACTAGGGATGCACTGATCCAGTTTTAGTTTAGTAAATGATGAGGCATCAGTGCAGAGACTGAAAACAACCAGGATATCGGCTGAACCAATTCAGAGGTTTCATCCTCTGAGAGACTCTTTTCCGCTCCAGCTGGACTGTCAAAAAGTTGTTCAGAGCTGCTGGTTTCCAAGCCCATGTTATGGTTCATGACTGCACAGCAGGAGCACCGACACTTGGGCCTGTGGTCGCTGAAGTTTGGGGTGAAATAATGTTAGATCCAGCAACTTCCACCAAGTTTCTCTTGGCATCTGAGGATGTGGTCTCAGTACCAAAAGTGAAAAAAGTAGGTGAGGACTGCTGCCGATGTGATGGTTTCAAACAATAATAAAAATACTTTTACTTTTCAGTCCTATTCAAAACTGTAGTGAAGTAGAAAGTACAGATACTTTCTCTCAAATGTAGTGAAGTAAAAGTAAAAAGTATCCACTTGTATATGCACAGATAAGTACACACAGTACACACAGTGAAAGAGACACCACACAGTTGATTTCAGCATTGCTTATAAATATAATTTATTAATCATCTTAAAAATTCTTTCTTACACTTTGTACAGAAACATTTAGAGGACGAGGCGAGCATTCAGACTGAGCAGCTTTGACAAACGTGCCAGAAAATAGATCCCTACGCCGCCCTATCTGAGCCGCATCACCCCTGACCAGAAAATAGACCCCTCCGGCGTCGCCCCTGACAGGAGAAGAGGAGGAGAATGCACTTACAAGCACAGCTCACGTCTATCAGGAACCAAAGAGCGGTTTGCATAGTCAACAACGCATTTACAAAAACTACAAACTAGATTCTAACGCCACGGCTTCGTCACAACTGTACATCGCATAGAAAATCACTTTAACATCAGGTACTTTGAACATCGCAGGAACCACCAGTGATGTGAGTGTGGCCAGCACTGCAAATAAATGACCAGAAATATACGCACGTGTGTAATTATAACCAAGTTTGGAGTCATTCCCATATTAAAGATTTTATATTACGTTCAACTGACTCTTGTGAGCTTTTAGTCGTGTTATAATGTTACCTCCCCAAAACTTTACCTGGAGTTGTGTTGTGTACCCTGTAACCCTAAACCTAACGTGCCTAGGACCGCCCCGAATGAAACAAAACACAACTCCAGGTCTTACATTATAACATAGATCAGAAAATAGCGTAATATGGGCCGTTGCAGTGCTATTATTGGCCGTTGCCGCATTACTGGTCGTCCCATTTTTCTTTAGTTAAAGTTACAAAGAGACTCTCCGTGCTCTGGACTGTTCATACCCTAGATTGGGGTGTGAACGGTTTCAGAGCGTAATAATTATAACGAGGCTTGTCTCCTAAAAGTGTCCACGGCAGCAGTGCCCTCTAGTGACATCAACAAGTCAAATATAACACATGTCTAAACTTAGGGCAACGGTGAAAAACAGAAACAGTTTGAGTTTAAAGGTCCTATATTACTTCAAATTGACTCTTGTGAGATTTATCCATGTTCAAATGTTGTTCCCTCCTCAAAAACAGACCTGGAGTTGTGTTTTGAAGCGGCAGTTTTCAAGTTAACAGCCTCCTTTTGCATTTTTGTTTAGTAGAAATTGGTAATTGAAGAGCAGAAATCACCTAAATGATTTTAATGACATGGTATCACAAGGTGGAACAGAGCGTTTTGAGTTTGAGAGAAGAACTCTTGTGTGTTAAATATGGTGTGAATGAAACAAAAAAACAACTCCAGGTGTGTTTGCGATGAGGAAAAACATCATAACATTGATCAGAAAATGGCGTTATATAAGCCCTTTAAACAAATGAATGTAAAGATGTGCTGTGTAACTTTTCCGGTGGACCCTCTTGTCTCCATGGCGATGTTAACGGCTGCAAGGCTTTTGTTTTACTGAACCGCATATTTCTAAATGGGCTCCACCGTGTTTATTTATATTTCTCTAGTCCGTTAATCTCTTTGCTGTTGTCAATACGGCTCAAGGGATAAATACATTTGTCTGAATCCGATTGAATCTGAAGAGCTTTACCTGGAAATGTTCCACAGTACAGCATTAAACGCATCCAAACATGTGCTGCTACCAGGTAAAGTATTGTGTTTTAGCAATGCAATCATCTGTAATTGAATAAATGCAAGACAGAAATTATTTAAGACAGGGCATTACACAAAATATATATATTTTTTTTGAGTTTTCTACCATTTTATGACGTTGTTCCCTCTTCTAAAACACGCCAAAAGAGGTTTTAGAGGCATGTTTAGGCCACGTTCAGACTGCAGGGCTTAATGCTCGATTCAGACTTTTTTTGTGAAATCAGATTTTTTTTGCGAGGTCGTTCACATTTCCAATTAAATGCGACTTGTATGTGATCTCCAGTGTGAACTTTAAATGCCCCCAAAGTGTCCCGTACGAGCACTGGAGGACATGACGACGTCACATGGAGCGAGCGTGCTCAGTGTTTACAGAAGTCGCCTAAACGCTGGGCTTGTCTCCCAAAATACAGTCCAGTTCTCCACAAAATGTACAGGTTACACGTCCACGGCCGCTTTGTTTGTTTGAGTCTTTAACTTTCTTGTGTTTGGCTCACAAGTAGAGCCTTGCACCCACTGGACCCGACGCAAAGGACTGTACAATGCAGGAGCGGGCGGGTGGGATGATAAACTGCAGTCCCTCAAAATAAATATGAGTGTAAAGTAAAATGTACAAATGATTAATGCTTACCTATCATACATCATTTGTGCTGGATATTTTATTTGGCATTAATAAAAACATTTTAATCTGCCTAAATTTGCGGATGTGGTCTAATCTTTGCACACATTTAGACAATTCCTTTCCACTTCTCCGTGTTTGATAGAGTTTAAGAAAGCGAAAGTCCCCATCTTGCGAGAGATTTGCGGGTGGGAATGGGACTGAAAATTCTGACCTCTACTCGCAGCCTCTTTATTTTTCGTTGACGTTGGAGCCAGGACCGCCTGTAGCCGCGCTCGGACATTTCTTTGGGAATCATTTCAAAAATCCGGTTCCGATAAGATGCCTCCAATTTGTCCTGAATACAACGATCCCCCCAAATATTAATAAACTCACTAAACTCACTTTCCCTCAGTGACTAGACTCCAAGCTTGACGTGTAGGTGGGATGAATGTGACCTGGCCGTTCAGACTGAAGTTGCGTGTCAAAAGATCGGATATGTATCGGTTTTAGGAGCACATATCGAGGTGTCCTGGGTCGCACTTGAAAAAATCGGATCTCTGTCGTTCATACTGTCATTAAAAGATCAGATACAGGTCACATAGGGGCAAAAAAATTTGGATTTGGGTCACTTCAGGCTGCAGTCTGAACGTAACCTTAGTGATCTCTCTCGGGCCCAATCAAACCCTCGTCACAATTTGCTGAAAGATTCTGTACAAGGCTTCGCCCACAAGCCGACGTCACCCATGCTCCGACACAGCAACTTGTAAGTATGTTATGTGTCAGGAGTTAATACTCCAAGTGTAATACACCCTCTCTCTTTAATGCCATACTGTGGAACATTCCAAGAAAAGTAATAACATCTAAGCAGGTGGTGAACTCCATTAGAAGATACATAGTGAATCTTTAACATTTAAAAAAAAAAAAAAAAAAAAAAAAGCAAGTAACCTTAAGTTGAGTTAAAGAGGTCCCAGGTTTAATTCCAAGGCAGAGTTTGCAGTTCTCTCTGTGTCTGGGTAGGACTCCTGCTCTGTTTTTTCCTCATCAATACATGCCAGTATAGTTTTATAATGAAAAATTGGTTTAAACAAATACAGATTTTAACGTTTAATCATCTATTTTTTAATGTTTCATAAACCATAAAAGGAGCAATGTGATCA